CTCTCATTAGCATCCCACCAATGAGTGTTTTAGTGCTTTACTTCAAAAGATTTGTATTAGTTTGTGGGTTTTTAAATTTTTTTTTATATATTTGTTTTTGAATTATTGAAGTGTCTTTCAGTGTTCGGGTGTACTGAGTTTTAAGGTTTAATTTTTAAATTGTGATTCTTGATATACTAGTTGATTAGATTTTGAGGGTTAATGGACAGATTGATATTAATTATTTATAATGTTTTTAATTTTTGGTTTATTGGTACCTTTTGCAAAGAAAAATAAATGCAATCTCTCCTCAGAATTTCCAGTTTTCTAGTTTTCTGTATAAAGAAGCAGGGATGAAAAGAGTGAGTTTCTGATTGGCTTCCTTCTTGCATGTCGGTTGACTTGCATGCGAGGCGGGTCGGCAAGCTAAGATGCACAGCGCTTCTCTTCATCATTACAGTGGGTTGACTAGCTGCTGGCTGTACTAACAAGGCTGCCGTTCAGACAGTCTGATACGTGACCGCGGCACTGATGTCAGGCTCCAGTCTTTTCACATGTTTTGTTAATAACTGCACTGAGTGACTAAAATAAGGAAATCCCAATCTCTTTTCAGATTCAGCTGTCAAATGAACTGTCAGGAAAATCTGCATGATTTTGGGTGTCTGCTTGCCCTGTCTGTTTCTCCACCCTTACACACCCTTTTCCCATAATCCCACAGTCAGTCATCTTAACAAGTCCATGCCTCCATTTTAATAATTCAGCACTTGAGTTTTTTTTCCTTTTCCTCTATGTTTATTATGTCCAGAGGGCAAAAGCATCAATAAATAAATAATCCTCACTGTTGCACAGCACAGACACAGAAGATGGGGAGGGAGAAAGAAAAAATATGACAGCAATTCACTAAATTACACAGGACTTTCTTAAAAACAAAGCATCTATAACTGGAGGAGCAGGTATGTTCAACTTTGGGCTTTCTGAGTAGTGAGTAATGTAACTTCAGAATGACCTTCTCTGCATCTGCAGACATAAAAGTACCATTTTATTGACCTGTCTGTATCGAAATCACCCCATCTTATCTCCGCTCCAGTCACCTGTCCATCTCTTTAGTGCATATTGGCAATACTGCTGTTTCTCCAAATAAATTAATTTATCCTCCTTCTCCATCTCTCCCCACTTCCTCCCTCTCTCTGCTGGACTCTCCCTTCTACTCCACTGGGCATCTGGGACTGTAGCACTTAACTGATATGAAGGCTACAGTGTGACGTCATTGCATTTGCTTCTCTTTTAATCCGCAGATGTTTATTACTTCATTGGAATGACCTTAAGCCTCCATCTTGAATATTTAGTTAAAAGGCCTGATGTCCTTCCTCCATTTGGAAAATAACAAATATAACTTTATCATCATCAATTACCTTTTATAAAGAGCGGCACCGACTCTCTCCTTTTTCACCAGTATACCCTCACTTGATTTTAGATCTCTGCTTTTTTGGGGGGATGTTTATGCAATAATTTTGTTCATGTTCATGGTTTTACTCATTTTCACATGTATTTTTTTCCCTCATTTAATTGCCTACAAAAGGGTGGTATTTTGTATTTAATTGTTGTTTCCTAAGTTTTGCCTAATACAGATACATGTGGAAATTATAGACGGTCAAGCTCACCTATTCCTATTTAACACAAATTGCAGATGAGGACTGCAGATAAACGAGCAGATGTATAAAAGGAGACTTGTGGGTATTAGAGTTGCCAGCTCTCACACATCTGGTGTGACACTCACGCTTTCACTCTCATGCTCAGCCACGAAATCTTACGGCAAATTTATATTATTCCATTATAAACTGGAAATTAGCTACATCAAAACTATTGGGGTAGTCCACAAACCCAACATACTATTTACAAAGTAACAGAACTGTTACATACATGTGAGCAGACTTGTCTCGATTTGAAAATCTCATGCCAGTCAGCTGACCCAAGTTGGCAACCCTAGGGTAGACCTCGAGCCTGCTGAGATCAGAATAATCTGCTGAGGCTAAGGAAAGTGTACTTGAGGGTGATGAGAAAAGGGGTCGAGGTTTAAAAGAAAGCACCTGTTGTGAGAGGAAGAAGCTATGCTTTTAATCACGTATTGCAATACGATAAACTGTGCTAATGGAGAAGAATCTGTATGCATAAGGGACATATAAGCATATAAGCTTAAGATAACAGTAGCAGCAATAATATTGAGCGACGGGGTGAATAAAGGCGGGTTTTGTGACAAATGTGGAGTGTGGAAAATGAAAGAGGTCAGGCAGTGCAGAATGTGGGTGATAAGAATTGTATGTGGAAGAGGAGTTAAATCATGTGATGACTGTCGGGTGGGGTGTCTAGGGGTAACCACGACAACCAAACATAAGTGATGTACCTCTTGAAGTAATGACCAATCACAAATGTTATGCCCTTTTGGGAAACTGGAGCATGAAGTATATAAGCTCGTGAATTTCTTCACTTGGTGGACGGTGACACTGCTTTTTTTTGCTGATTATTCTCAAGCTGAATTACTCTCAAGAGTTTCAACAACTGTTTAAGTACAGTAAGAGAGAAGGCTCGATTGAGTAGTAGTTTTTTTCTTTTCTTCTTCTACAAGAGTTGGGTCACAAAATCAGTCTAGCAAATGAAGCACGGGAGCAGCCGTGCAGAGATGCAGATACCAAGGAAGGTGGAGGTATTGTTGAGCTGATTTATGGTTAAACCAGCATCCTTGATCGTAACACCTCAAATTGATGAGTGAATTTGAATAATGAATCTTAGTATTATTAAATTTAAGAGAGGGAGATGGTGGCTATAAATAATTAACTCTGCATGGGGTCTGTGATTTAAAGCCTCTCTCATTGACTGTCTTTTGAGTCACTCTATTTTTTCTTGATCCATCTGGACTCGTCTTTTTCCAGCCTGTATCCAGCCACTTTGTCTGTTGTGATCTGCCTGGTTCTGCCCTTGTCTGACTTTCTTTTTCCTTCAACGATGGAAGGACTCTTTGCAGGCTTGGGAGAGATGGAGAGGCATAAACATGTTTAATCTTTCACCCTCCGCCCCTGCTTCCCTTCCCTTCCCTCGTCTCTTGCACATCCTCTCAGCTGGAGGGGGGCAAATGAATTATTCAAGGTACCAAGATGACAGGATGCAAATATACACACATCTGCGCATAAAAGAGTGCACCGTTTTAAATGCAAAGAGAAGATCTAAGGTGACTCTCGTTAGCCTTGGGCTCTTGGGTATTTTACATCAGAGCTTCCCAACCCGGTCCTTGGAGACCCCTAGACAGTCTACGTTTCTGCTCCCTGCCGGGAGCTGGGAGGGAGGGAAAATGTGGACTGTCTGGTAGGGAGCTGGGAGGCAGCAAAACATGGATTATCTAGGGGTCTCTGAGGATCAGGTTGGGAAACATTGTTTTAGCAGCCACAATCTCCCCCTGGGGGCAAGTCTATGTTTGGCTCCTCTGCTTTTCTCATATTTGTCATTATTTTTTATCACATGTTTACCACAGATTGTTTGTTAAGCCTTTTTTTTTTCTTTTTTTTTTTTACTTCTCCATCACCCATCTGGTACAAATGCACTTGGTTGATCTCCTGGCTGGAGAACCGTGGACTAAGTGATGAGTGTGCCATCCTCTTTGGCAAAGGGCAAGGGATAGAATGGTGCTTGTGTGGGGGGGGGGGGCATCCCATAGATTTGGCATGCCACAGTTGTGCTAATTTGGGGGGAGGGATCTCTGTTCTTCATGCTTTTTTTTCCTTTGTGTTCATGTTCTTTCACACATACAGCACACAGGCACACGTGCACAGAGCCTGTGAAAAGCTGCCCTTGAAACTTTCTTTGCTTTCTCTGGTCTGCGGTTCATAAACAAGCTCATCGGCAGTTAGTCACTGCGGCCATTCTGGGAAAACCCCTTATCGGCTGTGGGTTGTTTTCCAGATATTGTTAGTCTGGGGGGTGGAGCGGTATAGACAGAGAGGGAGGGACAGTGGAACAGATTTAATCTACTGATTGGAATACTGGGCATGACATTAAATTGAGGACTTTATTACTGATGCAGTCGTCAAGTTCCATCATCTACCAGATGCTCCAGTGTCATGAGGGAGAGATGAGTCTGAGTCTATAGAGTTGCCTTGGTCTTTGCAGGTCTTTTGTGCTGGATATAGTTGCTGATGCCCTGATTATGACAGAGCAGTACAATTCTTTTTTTAAGAGTTTCCTATATTACTCACTCATTATTTTTCACATCTCATCTGTGCTTTGGCAAATATATAAAGAAAATCAAAATTTGTTGTAAATTTGCTGAAAGTGTGCAAAAATAACTGGGGAAAAAAAATCACACTAAGTGTTGACTCTCATCCTATTTTCACTCAGTATCCTTCTCTCACATTTTCTCTGCCCCTTCAAGGTCGGACTTCTGTGCCAGGATGCTGGGGTTTAATGCCAGGGCTCTTCCTGAGCAGGCTGCAGTAACTGCAAGCTTGTAAAAAATAAAAACAAAAGTTGGAAGGAAATCTTGCCTCCTATTCTATCAATTTCCTCCCTGTTAGCAAACCCTGAATTTTTTTCAAAAACAGCATCTATTTTTCCACTCTGGGATATTAGACATGTCAACAATTTAAGCATGTGATCCTGTGTCACTGAAGACTATTGTCAGTAGGCGGCTGCCCTGCTTGGTCATTTAGCAATTTCATTGGTACGTAACATAACAGTCCAGAAGACTCTCAACATCATGGTCCTGATTGTTCTAGCTGTATTTTATTGCGTTCAATTGAATACTCCTCCTGTAGTAATACTATACTACTTATAATACTATTTAGCTTGAGTGATCTGGATCTTTTCATTTCTTGTTGACAGTTGATGTTATTGCTTTCTTTAATTTTATTCAGATATGACTGTATCTGTTCTCGTTTTATGCTTCTGTTGTTCTCTTAAGGACTCCCTCTTCCCTCTTCTCCTTATCGCCCCTCCCCACCACTCCCATACTCTCTCATTTTCTTCTCTTCCAGAGCAAGACAATCCAGCAGCAGGGTGCATATGTGAGAGAAGAAAAGCAAGAGTGGCGAAGAAAGAGACAGTGAGCAGCGGATTCCAGGGCTGGGAGCAGGGGGTGCTCGCAGTGACCAGGCCGGGCTGCTCGCAGTGACCAGGCCGGGCTGCTCGCAGTGACCAGGCAGACGTGCCGTACCCTTAATCAGTGTTCAGCAGCTGACCTCATTCTACCTGTGCTCAGGAGGAATCGTGGGATTTTTTTTTTTTTGTATGTTGGCTGCCTGTCACTGAGCATTCGAGTGGGTGCTGCTTTGATGGAATAGTGAGCAATGCCCTCCGCACAGTGTCACCAAGCTGGCAGAAGGGGACAGTGCGTCCCCTTCCCACTAGGCTTGCTTCTCCTTCTCCTGTCACTTGCCTTGGAACCAGGCCAGGCTGTGATGCATATCCCTGCTAAATGTAAGTTGCTGGTTTCACTGCCAGTTTTAGCACTGTCTTCTTTTATTATTTTATGAAGTAGTCGGGGTGTTATATAATAGTGCAGTGCTGTGTTATGTGTCATACAGTGGTGTATACCTCTTCTTAGGTGTGTAATCCTTCCCCTTTATCCCATTGTCTCTCTCTCACACACACACACCCCACGTCTTGGAGATCTTCACTGATTAGGGGAAACAAATTTGTAACTGTCTTAGTCAAAGGCACCTTTACCTAGTGCTTAATAAAATTACCTGCATGTGTGGAATGGAGCCTCAGCAGGGAATTCCAGATCCGTACAGTAGACCCTGAAAAGAAGGTGTGGTCATAGGAACCTCATTTGGACAAATATCAATCACAATATACTGATGACAGTGTTCATGGATATACCAGTTATGTTTGTGGCTCCATAGGTTTTACTGTGTTTAGTAATGATGTAGATATTTCTGCATGAGTGTCATGGTCAGTAACCCTGTAATAATCATATACAGCTGTCTATTGATGTACAATGTATATATCATATAACACAATATTAATTCAACCATGTCAAATACTTCTAATTTGTAACCTGTTGAGTTTTACAGTTGCTTTCTATGCATCATGTTTTAACTCTGTGTATGTCTTAAAAGGTGCATATATACTATATATACTATATAATTGTGGAAACACCTAGCATTTTTGGCATTACGCTTTCAAAATTACTAAACGGATATCACTGGTAATGTTCATAAACAATCAAAGAACGTTAAAATATCATACATTGAACAATTAAATAATTAACTGAAGTTACTGGAATAAAGTTCTACAATCTCTAAAAAATGGAAGTGTTTCCACAATTTTGGCCACTAGTGTATCTCTATATTTACGGTTTAGCTTCATGAATTTGTGTATATCTGTGTGTATAAGTCTCTATACAGTATATGCATGCATGCATTCGTATGCATGCATGTGTGTTTGTGAGATGCAAAAGTCTGAGAGTGCATTTTCCCTTGTTTATTTAGAGTAACATTCTTGCTTTTTCTGCTTCATGCTGGACTAATAGACCAAATAAGTGAATGTAAGTGTTTTAACTTTTCCCCATTTTATTAAATATGACAGTATTTTATGACTTAGCTTTATGCCCCTTAACAACAGAGACTTTTCAGTATTTTCATTAACATGGTATCATGCAGCAGTTCTGCACAGCGTACAGCGATACCTACTGCCTTGGTGGGTTTCTTTTTATTTCATTACTCTTTTGGCAAGTCTCAGGTGTTTCTTCCCCTTTTCCCAAAGCTTGTTTTCAGTAGAAACCAGGAATATCATCCCAGGGCGATGAGATATTGGAGAAAAAAATTGAACTCCTGTGATAACAATAATGCTGAAGTGCCTGTGGCAGGGAAAATAAATTTGATCAGTTGTGAGAACCAGCATGTTATCTCCATTAAAGAGAAACACTCATTAGTTTGCCTCAATCTTTTCCTCCCTCTTTTTCTTTAATCTCCTTGGCTGACAGCTCCCTGTCTCACTCTCGCATTTGCCTTCTCCGTTTGAATATCCCTTGTCCCCCCCCCAGCTTCTCTGATTTGAAATTAGTTTCTCCTGACCACCAGTCAGTCCACCTCAGCCATCGCATGCAGACACGGCTGACACTCTTCTGTTAGCAACATGGCAAAGCTACCTGAGGAGGTTGTGTTTTTATTTGGCACAGAGGACAACGAACTGGAATGGAAAACAAAGCTCTATGCAAACATAAGCACGTAGGACCTGCGAATAGTAAATCAAGTACCCTTATGCACAGGCAAACACACATTAGACTAAATCATGAGTCATCCATTTTATCTGTATTCATAGTGACGTATAGTAGATGTGTCAAACAGATACAGGTATTAGCTGATTGGCTGCCCAGTTGCCAGTGTAGATGCTGTGTCTCTGCTATTCTCTCCTGCTACAAATTATCCCGTGGCAGAACCTTGTCGTGTTTATCCACTCCATCCTCTCCTGCCCATGCCTTTTCAGCTCATCTTCCCTTAGCCCTGATGGGCTCATTTCAAATACCGCAGCTAATTATTTTTCCATCAGTTTATGATGACGGAGCTCCTAAGTGACCGCAGTGGTTCACACAGTCATCAGAAATTGTGTGCGTGTAGTGAGTACAGTAAATGGCAGGTTCACACCAGGGTGGGAGAAAAATTTACCCAATGGGAAATGAGTTTTTTTATCCAGTGTTGTTGCAGTTTCCTTTCTCTGTCTGGATGATGTTCAGACCAAAGGGCAGTAACAGTGGGTCAAACTTCCCATTCTCTCTACAGTCAAGCAGCCTCCCATAATAACAGTACAGCCTGAGTCACTGACCGCATTCGCACCTGAAGACATCAACCTGACCTGTGAGGCAACTGGGAATCCGCGGCCCAGGTCAGGCATCCTCTGCCACACAGCTTGGCCAAACCGCCACCATCATGTTCTTAAAGCTCCAAGAATGTCTGAATGGACCACATTGAACATGTGACCTTTGTGTCTCATTGTGCGACCAAAGATTCTATATTCTACTCTGAAAAGGAACTAATGAGCAGGCTAATAATAAATTAACGAATGAACTGCCTAATCACAAATGTATGAGATGTAAAATTATAACGTTAACGCAGACACTCGTATCTCTCGGTTTTTCCTGTCTCTCCTTCCTTTGTAGTTTCCGTTGGGTGAAGGATGGGGAGGAGTTTGACCCCACCAGCGATCCCCAGTTGACGACATCACCGAATTCTGGATCATTTTTTGCTTCTGGGAATGACCCCATCAGCCAGTATGAGGGCAAATACAGCTGCTATGCCTTTAACAGCCTCGGCACCGCCGTCTCTAACGAAGCGCAGATAATAATAGAAAGTGAGTTATTATATATATATATATATATATATACACACACACACACACACCATGGCTGTCACATTCTTGAATCTGAAGGGTGTTGATTAATTTTCTATAACTGCACATGTAATGCTGGCCCGGAAAATCACCAAGATACATTTTCACCAAAAGAAAATGTCACTCGAGCCGAAATAGTAGTCCTAGTAATAAACGCATTTTGGCTGATAAATGTGAAAATAATATCTTAAAGTACAAACACCAGTTTAGGTGACTATAGTATAAGGTGGGTAATGCACTCCAAGTTGTGCATTATTCGTTATGTAGGAAACTGCCGTCATCTTCAGCTCTGCCTCGGGCTGGTTCTTCACCTCTGCAGCCGTGCATTTAAAAACGTATAAGGCGCGGCTTGTACATTATCGTACATTAACCTTTACTCACACACGCATATATATACGAAACAAGCTTACATACAGTATATATTATTTATGTTTATATATTATTTATGTCTTGTACATTAATTGATATGAAGAGAGGGAGTTTTCCTTCTAGTTACTAGTAAATTGAAGGAGCAGCTTTGCTGAAAGACCACACTGTACTGTGCTGACATTATGGTTTCACATCATAAAGACTGGGAACGCAGAACACTTCATAGCTTAGAAGCAGTGTCTTAAGGCAAGGGTTTCCCAACCTTTCCAACCACACGGCTGACTATTCATCATATATTATTTTGGTGGCCAACGGGTGCGGGGGGGGGGGGACGATTTAGGTGATGTGGCAAAATATTTTATCACAATGTTCATATCAGTCGATATCAATAATTACTGTCATTGTTTCTGTACATCGGGGCTTCACTTTAGCTTAAAATTCCCTTCGAATTGCCCTTAAATATATTCAGAACCTGATTTTATATGACAATAAGTCGATATATATCATTTATATCGCCCAGCCCTATTCCTTCAGTAAATTTTACCGACTCTGGAATTTTCCTGGTTGGCAATCGGGTTTGCGTGCCCATTATGGACCAAACAGTTCTGTACCCTGCTACTGGGCCGTTGAATTAGTGGTTCAGAAACCCTTTCTCAATTTCTCATTTTGTTTTCCATTATAGTTATGTGAAACTGTACCCTGAGTACAATTAAGTATAAGGCCTTATTGTTGTGTAACACTTTCTAGTACAATTTTTTTCTAAAAACAATTAGGCCTACTGTTATTTACACAAAAACATTTGAAGGCTATATACATGCACTGACCTTACCATCATAACAATCCAGTCTATATCATTAGATACAGTACATCTTTGTACTTGCATATTTTCCACTCTTTTAACCTGTTTCCCTAGCAACAGTTACCTCAGAGGTGAAGTGAAGTCATTCTGCCATCTTAGTAGAGTCATAAATTCCAATGGGATCAATAAGTGAATGAAAAACAGAGTGAGAAAAATATTTGTCGTTTTTTTTAACTATTTAATTTACATAAAATAAAGTTTCTAAAATTTTACCTGAACAGATCTTTAAGTCATAATAATGGTCACAGTTGGATTAAAAAACGTTAAACTATATGCTACTTTTTCATGTCTTTCTCAAATACACAGTTTAACTGCTGACAGGCTGCAAAAAAGTGCATTTCTTAATTGAGCAGCAATAACCTCAATCTCAATGGTTTCCTATAGGTCCAGATCAAAGCTGTAAAATGCTTAGGATGTATTTTTATACATAATTCTTTATAGAACTGTTTCTATAATGTTCTGTAAAGTTCATTGATATCTCTTAGATGTCCTGGGGGAACAACTTAGTTCAACTGCATGTCACATTTGCACCTGTGCTTTCGGTTCTTCATGTTTTGACTCATTGTCTAAAAAGCTTCAGATCACAGACATATACTCACATTCTCCTGTAAATACATGCCAAATTCTGAAGTTGCCTCTGTTACGCTGTATAGTTGACATGAGCTTTTGGTGTATGTATGTATGAATGTTGTTTTTCTTTGTATTTCAGCTTAGAGGTTTGTCCCATCTCTCCACAATATGAAGTATTTCTGTCAAACATGGGATAGATTTAAATGTTTATTGGACACCACCTCTCTTGTTCTGTTTCCTTCAATTATCCTCCCATTTGCGTCATGTTTCTAACTTAGGTTCACACACCTTATCTCTTAATCATATATACACAGTTTTCCATGTGATGATAACATTCTTTAATGCTTCAGATTTCCGGCAGAGTGTAAAGGCTTTTGTAGGTGTCATATAACCAGTATTTGTGTGTAGCATTGTGGGACATTCAGGTACGGTGTGCTGCTGTCTGGTGTATGAATCGGAGTTTTCACCATTTCAGATGCCCCAATGCATGTGAAAGAGAAGAAGATCAGGAAGAAAGCTGAGGAGGGGGACAGTGCAGTTCTGAACTGTAACCCTCCCCTCAGCACTGTGCCCCCAAACATTCACTGGATGGACAAGAGTGAGTCTCCGATTACTGCTTGAATTTTGCTCTGTAAGGCTGTCTAGGCTGGGAGGGGAGGTGTGCTAGCAGGTGGGGCTAGGAGGTGGTTAGCACTGTCGCCTCACACCTCCATGTCCTCCATGTTCTTCACGTGTCTCCATGGGGTTTCCTCCAGGTACTCGGGTTTCCCCCCACAGTCCAAAAATTTGGTTGGAGTTACTAAATTGCCCATTGGTGTGCATATGTGAGTGAATGGTGTGTAAGTGTGAATGGTGTGTAAGTGTGAATGGTGTGTAAGTGTGAATGGTGTTTGAGTGAATGGTGTGTAAGTGTGAATGGTGTGTGAGTGTGAATGGTGTGTGAGTGTGAATGGTGTGTGAGTGAATGGTGTGTGAGTGTGAATGGTGTGTGAGTGTGCCCTGCAATGGTTGTGTGCCCCATAGGGTGTGAACCCCCTGTGACCCTGAATAGGACAGTTATGGAAAATGTATGGATGGATGGACCATCTCTGCATCTTACTTAACTGATTCCTTTGCATATCAGAAGTGTGCTGTTATGTGGGCTGTGTTCTAACCTCCTACTGGTGCTCATATGCTTCTTGACTCCAGATATGCGCCACATAGAGCAAAGTGCCCGTGTGACTCAGGGTCAAGATGGAAACCTCTACTTCGCCAATGTGAAAGCTGATGATAGCCGCAATGACTACATCTGCCACGCCCAGTATATCAGCGCCAGAACTATCCTGCCCAAGGAGCCTATTTCCCTCATTGTCACCACCAGTGAGTGATCCTCACGCTTAGTCACACCCATTCAGTAGCAAAAAGCTCTAAGTGCCCTGTGTGTGTGCTTGTGGCGGATAAGGGTAGAGGATTTCTCCTGACCTTGATTTCCTGCTCTCCGTTCCTCTCCTTTTTGTTCCTCTCCTTTCTGTTCCTCTCCTTTCTGTTCCTCTCCCTCCTTCTGGATGCAGCAAACTCAGTAGTGCGAAACCGGAGACCTCACTTGCTGCTTCCCACGAACTCCCACAGCACCCACCTGGCCCTCCGTGGCAAGAAGCTGGAGCTTGAGTGCATTGCAGAGGGCCTGTGAGTGTGGGTGCCCCTCATGTGCCCCTCATGTGCCCCTCATGTGCCCCTCATGCCCGGCATGGAGGGAGGAAGTCGGATTATCCCTCACCTCTGGGTTCACAATGTACAAACAGAATTCACCCTCGTTTCCTTGTTCCTTGGTGTGGATAGTGTGACGCTCTGCATCTGTTTTCAGCCCCACTCCCACTATCCAATGGGTGAGGAAAGATGGAGCTCTGTCTGAGTCGCGCATCTCCAAGCAGAACTTCAATCGGCTGCTGCTCTTCACTAATGTCTCAGAGAGTGATGATGGGGAGTACCAGTGCACAGCTTCCAACAGCCAAGGCGTAGCCATGCACAGCTACACCATCACCGTGGAAGGTACGAGGCCCAGGACCTGCAGACTATCACACGATACGTTTGCTGCAAACCAGAAATAACGAGAGCTGTACCAATATCTCCTGAATGAATGAATATAGACAGAGATGTGTAATTAGTGGTGTTGTGGCAATCGATTTAGGCAGGCATGTGCCTACCCAAGATTTTGTAAAAATGTAACATATAAATTAATTATTCAGTAAACCAAAATGTACCTACATTGACTACATTGCAGTCAGGGTAATATGGCCAATAAGTGAGCTTCCTCCGTCAGATCACGCCTCTTTATCCCCATCCCTCATCATTCTCATCTTGCACATCATCAATGAGTTGTCACATCATGACACTGGCGACTCACATCCCAGCGGCAGTAAACCAGGTTAGCTATCTTTAGGTTTTACAACTGCTAGCCAAGTAAACGTGCCACTGCAAGTATAAGAATATCAACTGAATAGAATCTGTGATGTTGTCCCACAGACATATGCGGCATTAGCCTAAGACTGTCAAAATATATCAGGGACGTGTTTCCTTGAGTAGCTGTGTGATCAGTGTGCTAGGCAGGCATACGGTGAAGCTGAATTTATGTTAATGTTAGTTAGATAACACAACAGCAAGGTGGATGGTAGACCAACTCAGCTTGCTGGTTTGCCCATACAAATTACACTGTCCATCATTATTTGAATGTATAATAGTTATATAAAGTTTCAAGAACATTAATATCTGAACCTGTGTATTTTTATGCTTACTGTGTGTTTGAGATGGTGCTTCTCTGCAAAATTGGTTTGCCCAGCACCCCTGTGTGTAATATTTATATGCTTTTCTATCACTTTCTTGCCTGAATACTGCTCTGTGGTTCTAAAGTTCTGGATGTGTGTGGCATGTGATATGACACTGTTAGGTAAATGTGCGATATACTGTAACACTCTTCTTTGATGTGAGTGAAATGCTATCATTGCATTGAGTTTCACAGCTATGGCCACTGCTGATGACAGTGATGGAGGCAGTGGGAGACTTGTGATTAGGTTGGGAATCACTGCTTTCCAATGCACAGCCATTCATGCCTGTCCTTTATAATGCAGCTGCCCCATATTGGATAAAACAGCCCGAGAGCCAAATTTATGCCCCCGGAGAAACTGTGAGGCTGCACTGCCAGGCAGAAGGGATCCCCACCCCCAGCATCACATGGAGCCTCAATGGAGTCCCTACCTCAGGTCAGTGCAGAACAGTACTGTGTGAAATCACGCGCTGTCACACACACCTAGTAGTGTTCTGGCCCCTTACGGCTGTGATAAGAGGCTACCAGCTGTGTGCCTGCAGGCGTGGAGCTGGACCCCAGGCGCAGTGTGGAGGGGGGCACCCTGATCTTGGAAGATGTGCAGCCCACTGACACTGCCATATACCAGTGTGCTGCCTCCAACACTCACGGCACTGCACTCCTCAATGCCTATATCTACGTCATTGGTAAGCACTCACCAATTCTCCACAAGGTCACAAGAATGTCATCTTTCAGCTTTGTAGAAATTAATTTTTTTCTCCGCTGTGATTGTTTGACTCTAGGGCTCCGCAAGATTCTTTAAGCTATCTTACATTAAGTTTTGCATACATTTTTTTGCTATTTATATGTTTTTTTTGCTAGGTGGTATATTTGCAGTTTTTTATATGTTTATGTAATGGCAAGTATTAAAAATGTCCCTGGATATCCTTCTCCTTCCCAGAGCTGCCCCCTCAGATTCTCACAGATGACGGACTGTCTTACAGTGTGACGGAGGGACAGACAGCTCAGCTCAACTGTGAGTCTTTTGGCTCTCCCAAACCCAGAGTCACATGGTGAGTGAATTTTCTGCGCAGTGCTGGGTTATGTTGCAGTTACTAGAGCTGGGCGATTAATTGAATTTTAATTTCAATTACAATTTTGGCTTCCAACGATTATCAAAAGAAAATAACCGAGGTAAAACGATTATTGTGTTACATTTCATTTCGCAGTGATGCTCCCATTTTGTCTTGATATAAATCCAGTGCACCCCTTTCCAGCTCCTTTTTATTTGTTTCTCAGCTGAATTATATTTACAATTCATGGAAACCCACAGTTAAACAGTTAAATGTTCAGTAAATGCATGATATTTCTAAAGTCAATGAGTAACTGAACGTGATTATGATTCTTGCCAAAGCCCTGGATGCTAATACTTGCAGAGGTGTGGCCTGAGGAAGAGCAGTGATGCTGGTTTTCATTGTGATTTATGGCCACGCAGGGAGAGTGAGAGCTCTGACATGTTGCTGAGTGATCCCAGGGCATCCCTATTGGCCAGTGGTTCCCTACAGATCACAAAAGTCTCCAAGGAGGACCAAGCTACCTACATCTGCTCTGTGCTCAGTACAAACCTGTCTATAACTGCCAATCTCGAGGTTTTGAGTGAGTGACGTCCATGAATATTGATCTTAAATGCACACTGGAATTAGCTCCACTGCGGATGGGTTTCCTAAACATACACATATTAGTCACATTTTATTATAAGCAAATTAACTAACATCAATTTCATTATTAGATAAAACAGTGATAGTGTCTCCACCGGAATCGCTCCGTGTTCAGCATGGAGATATGGCCGTGTTGAACTGCCAAGCTCAGGTGGACAGCAAGCTGATGCCACCTGTCTTTCAGTGGAGGAAGAATGGGCAGAAGATTTTCGATTCTCCCTCTGATGACAAGTAGGCCATGGATTCCTTGTTGTTTGTATGATCCCTGTGTGTTTTTTTCAGCTTTAAAAACGGTGAAAAAAGAGGGCTACATATCTTCATGGAGAGTAAGAGTGAAGGGGATTTATAAAGAACAAAATAACTCTGAAATAGCTATACTGATATGATAGATAGATAGATAGATAGATAGATATCCTCACGATATGCTCACATTTTGTTAAAAAAATGCATGAATGCAATACAACGAATAATAATGTTTTATGACTTTAAAATTAACACTATAAAATCTATAGTTTAGGTACAATATACCTCTTAGCCAAGCAGTTAAAATTCTACATTTTAATTGCAATTTTATACTGTATACATATTTTAGAAAGGAAATTTTCATTTTAAATTGCAATCTAAGTTATCTGGAATAAATATTAGAAATCTGGTATCTGTTATCTGCAATACTGAATATTTTTTCTGTTCAGAAGCTAAACATTTCCTTAGAAGTCATTGACTTCTTGTGTCGTATCTCAGCATAGTCAATCGGAGAGCTGAGATTAGTGTCACATAGTCACATGGGAACCTGGTCATACAACCTCCAATGACAGGGAAACAAAATCTCTCCTGTAGTCTTTGGCAAAGAAGGTGGTCTGTGGTTTAGCATGTCAGGACACAGTGTCTGTGACCGCATGACTGTGGTTTAGCATGTCAGGACACAGTGTCTGTGACCGCATGACTGTGGTTTAGCATGTCAGGACACTGTGTCTGTGACCACATGACTGCCACTGAACCCTTAAGCGAGGCTCTTAATCCCCACCTGCTCCAGTGATGGGGGGTGCCCCATTCTGGGTCATTCCTTGCTCCTGTCTTACCGTGTTTTCTAAGAAGAAAATGTATGTCACTTTTACTGTGATGTATTTATATTTTTCAATTAGAGGTAATGACTTTTGGGATAAATTTGTAGGCTTTCTTTAAATGTTCATCGGTTCTCATACAAAGCATATGCAATTAGATGTATGTTTAAAGAGTCTCCATAAACGGTAAGTAGTATTATTTCAGTTGTTTTTTTTGTTTACATGGTATTTGACATGTATGTCATTGTGGTTGGATATTGTTCCTGACTAAAGCATCTACTCTGAATTAAATGATTAAAAAACTATAACATTAATTTCAGGTATACAGTGGATGGTTCCACCCTCATAGTGTCTCACATTCAACATGAGGATGAGGGAATGTACACCTGTAACGTAATAACTCGTCTGGACATGGCCCACGCCAGTGGCTCCATCATCATCATCGGTAGGAGATGATTCACTCCTACACAAGGAATCCCATATATCTCTAATGACAAATTTTAGGTGCTACTATGTAGCAGTAATTGCTTGAGAAAGTCTACACTTGGTGATACTTTTACCCAACCCTGCTGATCCCTGATATTTGCTGTGCCCACAGACAAACCAGATCCTCCCTTGCATCTGATAATGTTGGATATAACAGATCGTGGCCTGACGCTCAGTTGGAAACCAGGCGATGACCACAACAGCCCTGTTCTTGGTAAGAGTCTTGCTTCACCTCTGGCCACCAGAAACACTGTTTATTCGTTAACGTTCTATGTAGACCCTGGGTAAGTAGACCTTCTGTTTCTGTGTCTAAGACAAAGGGTGACAATACACAGGGCAGATTTTTCAGCAATGTTGTCAGGCAATGGGCAATCTTTTGCAGTCATCCAGATGCAGATAAGTTGCTCTTTGCCAGTTGCTCTGTGTATCACCATCAAAAGGCTAACCTTTGTAACGATGCCACATGGCTTCATCCTTGTTTATCGATTCAGAGTTTATGGTGGAATATGAGGAGGAGCAGTTTGGAAAGGGAGAGTGGATAGAGGCTATTCGTGTCTCCGGGGAGATGGATCAAGCCTACATTCCGCTGAGGCCCTTTGGCACTTACCGCTTCCGGGTCACGGCCGTCAATGAAGTGGGAAAGAGCAAACCTACCGTTCTAACTGACATTCACAGAACTCCCCCTGCTGGTAAGACCTGTGCATCCTCCAGTACAGTCAGTGGCAGTTCCTTGCGATTAAACTGGTATTACTCCCTTATACTGTTGTGCCTGCAGTATACTGTGCTTTTATTCTCTATGTATTATATAGTGTTATTTGGTTAGTTTGACACAGACCACCCTTATTTTCTTGTACACTGTAGTGCAGCTAATATGTCATCAAAAATATTGCAGTTTTCACAGCAGGATATTTTACAATTTATGTTAAATTCCAGTTTCTTATTCTTGGAATTCAAACTGGAGACCTTCAGGATCTACCACAGCACCTCCTGCCCCTGTACACCATCACTTACCGTAGAGCTAGAACCTGCGCACAATGGCAGAGTACTGGGGTATAATTAATCGCTTTTCATTAATCAGACTGACCTACCCTGTTTCCTCCTCATAGCACCAGACATGAACCCAGAGGATGTTAGGAGTGAGTCCGTTGACCCTGACATCTTGGTGATCACATGGGAGGTAAGTCCTCAAAAGTACTTTAACTATTACCTGAGCAAAAATATCGCTGATCTGTATAACTCTCAAGGCCTCATCATATTTGTCTTTTACACAAATAAAATATTTCTTTTAGAATACACAGTTGACTATATCCCTGGGTCCCGCTTCTGTGGATTCAACCAATCACAGATTGAAAATATTCAAAGAAAAAAAAAATCCAGAAACCTCTGCCTGTATTATAAATAGTCTGTGTTTTATGTATTTCTGTTTCAGGTTAATTCTTGAAATGCTGAAAGAAAGGAAATGTTATGTTGTTGCTGTTGCGTACTATGCATCTGTATGAATATGTACAAACTTTTTTTTCTTGTCATTATTCCTAAATGATACGGTATAACTACTATTTACATTGTATTAGGTATTATATGGAATGTAGAGTTTATTAAAATACAGGAAGAGGTGTGTAGGCTATTTGCAAATACTACACATTTTACATGAGGGACTTGAGCATCTGCAGGATTTTGATATCCATGGGTGTCCTGGACCCAAGTCAAGTTGAGTAAAGTCATCTTCATAGCAATATAGCACATTTGAAAGACAGAAAGTGATAACCAAAGTACTGCACAACAGAGTTATGTGAGGTAAGACAAACATTTAAACAGATAAAAAGAGGCTAAACCGCAAAAATATATAATTTAAAACAGAAGATAAAATAAGTGACTAACAGATAAAAAAGCAATAAAGAGAAAAACATAACTAGCTGACAGCAAGACAAAATTAAACAAACCCCTGTGGATAGAGAGGGCGTACTGAATACATACAGTATATATACCAAACATGGCATATATACCATGCTTGCTCTGTACTATACTGAAACCTGTACTATTGATGCATTGGTGGCTGTTAGGTCTGTGAATGTTTCCTAAATTCAAACATCGAGAGAAACCACAGAACATTCAGATTTTTATCTGCAGATGTTTGTTATGAAACTCGCCTGCGTATATTTAAGTGAATCTGTACCTTGACAGATACTTTTGTAGCCCTTTGGTTACAGGATGCTTCTTTGCACTTGTCTCTGCAGGAAATGGACCCACAGACCTTCAATGGCCCTGGCTTCAAGTACAGGGTGATGTGGAGACGTACAGTTGGTCAGGGGCCACAGTGGCACCATAATTACACCAGTATGCCACCCTTCATTGTCCCAGATGTTGGCACCTTCACCCCCTTTGACATAAAAGTGCAGGCCATCAATGACTTTGGGGAGGCCCCAGATCCTGACCCTGAAATTGGGTACTCTGGGGAAGATGGTAAGTTATCCATCTTTTGGTATATTTTTTACTTCTTTTTATATGTTTAAAACTAGGAGAAATGTATCACCTAATGCTTTGCGTTAATTTTAATGACCTGTTATTATTTCTCAAATAAAGACATGCAGTATTTCGATATCCAAATGCTAGATTAGTTTGAGCAAATATTTTTACTTGAGAACCATAATGTTCTTTCCTGGATGTAAACAACACAAGTGTTTCGTTTATGATATTGCAGAGAACCTCAGAATTCAAAGCTAAAATCAAACCGTTCGTGCTGATCTTTCCTGGTTTAATTACTTTTAATGAAATTGCCAGACGAAAGGTATGTACTGTATAGGATAAAAATACTATAATTTGCAGTATTTATTATATTGAGGGCTTATGCTTCAAAATCTTACCATCTTTCATGTAAAGTGCTCTTTCAGCGATTGTCAGGCTTGTGTTTTTGGAGTCATTTGCCAAATTTAGGTTTTTGAATGTGAACACTAATAGAAAACACTAGAGTAGTGTTTTGGCCACTACTAGAGACCCCTGCTGGCCAAATGGGAACATGGCAGCAGTAGCAGCACGTATCACGACAGTAACCCACAATAAACAATCAGTTTGTATGATGAGATGTGTATTTTTGATGAATTTTTGGTTAGTTTTGTCATTTTTTCTCTACCCTGTAACTCTTACCCTGGATTTGATGAAATACTTTTATTACAGAAATAAATGGTGACATAGCAAAACTTAAGATGTATCTCAAATTACAAGTAGTATTTCCCTTCCTGAATACAATCAAATGTTAATGCTATCTTACAAATAAAAGAATAGTTTGTGTAATGTAAAATAAAAAACAGAGCATAAAAAAATTGCAAATGATAAATATGTTGGCGTCACTACATAAAGTGGACAAAATCCGTACTGTCTTTCTTGCTTCTGTAATCCATGATGCCTCAAACCTTAAAATTTGTACTGATTCATTAATGTCCTTTTATTGATGATATACCTTCATTCATATTCATATATTTTCACTTATTGCATAAAATCATCATTACCTGCAGAAATTTCACATCACTAAGATCTGTCGTACCTCAATATCTTGTCTAACCTCAATATCTGTACTGTATCTTCCCACCAACTCTGAAAATGCATACTTCAGGTGCAGATGAGGTAGAATGGCTAGAAATTGAGATGCGAGTTTGACCAAGGAAAGGAACTGGTTCTGATTGTGTCCAGTAATGGAGAGGATGAGACTCCTCATCATGGCACAGGAGGCTTAGATAACTTGGGAACCCATAAATTCAAAAAGCCAGTGTGAACAATGCATGATTCACATTTTCACAACAAAAAAAAGGTTATTTGATTAACTGTCTTCCATAACTTGTAATATATAAATTATGATCAAACATATCTGTAGCATCTACCTTAAAAAAATACTTAATATTGCATGTATAACATTTGCCAAATCAAGTCAACCTCTTAGATATAGAATTTCTTGGAATTTAGTGGAATTCAGTTCTGTTTCCTGTAATTCCAATTCATTTCCAATTCTTTTTCTTTATAGCATGGAGCAAGTCCAATTTCAATTCCAACTCCAGGAAGTAAATAGGAATTTACCATGAATTGTCAGTTCAATTTATGAATGCCCCCAACCTTAATTGTGACCATTCAGCACATGGAATTCTCACAGCCAAATAGATCCTTCTTTCTCCTTTTTTTCATGCTCTTCTCCTCATTGTGTCCTCATCCTTAGTTCCCTTGGAGGCGCCCCTTGGTGTTGGGGTGGAAGTGATGAATAGCACTGCAGTCAAGGTGAAGTGGGCACCTGTGAACACACAGTCTGTAAGAGGGCATCTGCTGGGCTACAAGGTACAGGAGGGGAATCAGGGGGTGTCTGTGGAACCATCCTAGAGCTCACGTTCTGCTGCGTCAGCTTCCAAAAGCTGCTTTATAAAATCATCTAAGAATTTTGAGTCACGAAAACATATATGTGCCATTAATGGAGGCTTCTAAATATTTTTAAAGTAAAATTTACATTTCCTTTGTTTTTGTTGATCCAAACCCATAATGTCTTGCCCCCATTTGCAGGTCCATCTGAGGAGACTGGGCTCTAGGAGTGGGCGAGAGCGTCGGGGAAAACGAGAGATGGACAAGGAGAATGTGGTGACAGTGAAAACCGGGGCCAGTGAGGAGCACAAGGTGCTTGGGGGCCTGCAGCCGTTCTCCCATTACACCACTTCCGTGAGCGCTTTCAACAGCAAGGGGGAGGGGCCACATTCAGAGCCCATAAACTTCCACACCCCGGAAGGAGGTGAGAAGGGGATTTGGGGGGGGGGGGAGGATTATATATATATAAGTACAAAAAGGGGCATCATCCTTCTGTTGTGTTGTGGCCCGGTCAGCTATTAACTAACAGGTGCCTATGCACCTCCAGTGCCCAGTCCGCCCACATCCCTACACCTGGACAGCCCCTCGGACACAGAGCTGACCCTCCATTGGACACCACCAGCCCACCCTAATGGAATCTTGATTGGATACTTCCTGCAGTACCAAAAAAGTAAGCACTGCTGCCAGACTGCCTCTTAATACTTCTGTGTCCCCATGAGGTTGAATCCCTTGAACAATCTGAACCTTTCCTTTCAATTACTGTCAGTTACTGAGTCAGTCACTGTCTGCCAGCCACTCACTTAGATTATCTCTCGGTGTCACCTGTGTGAGGTGTGATACAACCAACCAGAAATGAGTATGGTAAGTATACAATATTTTCCTTAGCCAATCATGTGGTAAACTATAGTAAGTGTGTTCCTCTCACTTGTGTGGCAGTTTCAGACAACGAGGACGGCACCATGCACAGCGAGACCATTAACAACCATACAGCTACTCACATCATGTTGCACAAACTGGACCCTCAGAGCCGGTACCGGTTCTATCTCCGGGGGCAAACCATGGCAGGAAAAGGAGAGGTTATCATTAAGGAGGGGGCTACCATGCTGGATGGAGGTATGAATATAAGCCACTGAAGTCGTTTCCTTGTAAGATGTTGTAAAACAGCAGGACACATTATATTTAACAATATTGGGTGTTTTTTAAGATCACTAATATTTTTTAGCCCAATAATTCAACTTTCATTCAAAACATATTTATGTGCAAACAGTCCCCAGGTTATGAACGAGAACTGTTCCTTAAGTCTGTCTTTAAGTAAAATTTCATGAGGACTATTTCATATTTGCACATTTTATGACATGGAGGAAAATTGTCACAATTTTCCATACTTTACTATTTTTTAAAAGAATTTATAACTAAAAATGAAGAAAATCAGAAGTAAATACTATTGAATATTATACATTGAAAGGTAAAATATTTAGTCCATCAAAAGTAGAAGAAAATGATATACTGGGACTGATGTTATTCTTTTTTTGTTTAGTTTATTCAGATCTGAATGTTTTGTATGATTTGGAAGTAATTTTGTAAAACCATAGAAAAAGTCACTAAATCCAACAAATTAAGTCCACAGCATTTTGTATCATATCATTTGATGTACAGTATGCATATACCTTTAATAATTAGTCTAAAGTAAACAATATCCAGAGGAGTTTATAGTAAGTTAAGCTGTTTATCACCACATAACGCGAGCATTGTAAGCCATCCAAACTCCCGAACATCATTGACATTGCTTGTTGTCACTGTGTATAGTTTAAACATTCTCTGCTGTGCCCTTATTTCCACCTTCCAGGTCCTCCCACTAACATCAGCATATCTGCTGGTCGAACATACGCCAATATCAGCTGGGTGTCGGGGGATAGACACCGGAATGTTGCCTTTTACATCCATTACATCAACAAGAACGGTGAGATGCTGCGAAAGTGAAGTGAGAGGGGAATTCCATGTTGCTGCTCCGCACGGTCGTGAAGCATGAAGCATGAAGCATGCCCATGTGGTGCCTTCCGATAATGTAAATGAACTCCTGTGCTAAAGGTGGGCTTGTGTGCTGTCTTTTAATTTTTATGTTTAGCTAACATTAAGTGGACTCGGTCCGAGACGCTGAACTCCACACAACGCTTCTACCAGCTGCAGGGTTTGGAGCCTGGATGCAAATACCGTCTACTCTTCATCAGCAATAAAACTTTCTGGGACACGGTTATTCAGACCCAGGGAGAAGGTACTCGCTCAAAGTCCTTCTTAAATTTCAGAGTGGTCAGCCATCACTGGGGTAGTTTACTTTTTGAGTAAATGGTAAACGTCTAAAATTTTTTAAAAAACATTAGAATTTTTATCTTATTCTTTATAAATTAAAAAAATCCATGCTGTGATGGAAGCAAAATATTTGCATGCATTTTTATATTCTCTGGATGACTCTGGATGATTAAAATGTTAAGCACTTTCTGCAAATATAAATCTGATATAATTTTATATACTGATGTTTCTGAAATTCTTTACATTTTCAGTGGCATTATGTCCCTCAGTACTAATATTTGCTTACACCTTTAACATGATTTATATATTTGTCTATTCATCATACACTAACACTGCTTTGTTTTACACAGATATCAGCTAATATACAAAGAAATACTATATTATAATAAACCTGTTACGCTAGAAGCGATGCGATGGGAACCTCATAGTAATGTATAGTGAGTTTATCATTGAGTTTATCATGCAAATACAGACAGAATATTACCACATTGTCACATACAAAAAGGAAATTGAGAGTCTTCATCAGTACAGTTTTTGGACTATATCACAGCATCACTAGAGATTCGCCAGTCAAAAGTCTGGACATATGGTTCTGTGCAAAAGCTTGAAGTATATGAAGCTTGAAGTATATGAAGTATGAAGCTATGATTTTATGTGTCAAAGTGAAACCTTATCCATTTCAAATTCCCTTAAAGTCACTCCAGGATTTGCAGCAACCATCCAATACACTAATATATATTTTGTGACTTGACCAATGGCACACCATATTTGGCTAATCAGTCATTGAATTATGTAACTAATGAATTAATTGAGCTGGTAGTGAAATTTACGTGGTATGGCTGGGGTGCCCCAGGATGGAGGTTTGGGAACTGAAGCGGTGTTCTTCCAATCGTCCGATACGATATCAGTAACTTTTTGGAAGAGAAGAAATTCTTGTAACTTTTTTTCGTGTTGCTATTGATTTGCACACATTCTAATGTTAAATTGTGTTTTCTTTTCTGACAAATTGTAGACTTGCTACCCAGAAAATTAGCTTTAAAATTTTTCTTTATTAAGACTTTTGCACAGTATAGTATGCGCTGATTTGTAAACAGTACAAGTATATTTCCCATTGCAACCCATTGAGTGCTTTGTGACTGTGACTGTTTATGCTCAACTGGTTGGTTGAAATATAATCTTGGTCTGGATGTTTACTTTCTGGATCTGAAATGTCTACCGCTGGATGTATGTATCTTCAAAGAATGTGTCATAAATATCTTTGTCTCTTTCTCCTGTCTGAAGGGATGATACCGGTTCGGGAGGCTTTTGTCACTCAGGGCTGGTTCATCGGACTCATCAGTGTCATTGTTGTGCTGCTGCTGGTACTGATTATTCTCTGCATCATCAAAAGGACCAAAGGGGGCAAGTATTCAGGTATCACAGCCACATAAAATCACTCCATGCCTTCATGGCTGCATTGCTAAGCCAATGACATGCCACTGAGCCGGCCGGGTGAGTTTCAGCTCGCACAGCTACAAAGGGTGTAGACAGTAGGCAACCTTTACCCTAACATACAGCCTTAAACTTACCTGTAATGCTAACTTTGCAGGTTTTCCTTCATCTTATCTCCTTCTCCATCTCTCTTTCAGTCAAAGATAAGGAAGAATGTCAAGTGGACTCTGAGGCCCGCCCTATGAAGGATGAGCAGTTTGGGGAGTACCGGTGTGTTATGACTATTGATATGATTGTACACCATATTTGGGGGTGTGTGTATATATACACACACACAACCATAGATACCCATGACACACTGTACTGGATAAGATGGACGACTGGATGAATATGCATAATCTAGCAATTAGAAATGTAAAGCTCTAAAATAAATATTAGGGCTGGGGCAGTATTGTGATATTTATAAAACAAAAAAGGAGATTAAATAACCATAAATACACTAAATGGAAGGTTATCTACCAATATAGTGTGTCAGATTAGTTGGTGGTATTGCCGCGAGTTGTGTCAACAGACACAAACCAGTGCTGACAAATGCAATGTGATTATCATCGCGATGACAATGCTGAAACGATATAATGTGCAGCCCTAATAAATATGCAGCCTGAGGATTATCAAATGTTTTGTTACAAGTCAACAAAATTATAGGGCATTAGATCAGTGTTTCCTAACCCAGTCTTCAGGGAACCCCGGACAGTCCACGTTTTTGCTTCCTCGCAGCTCCCAGCGCACCTGTACCAGGTATCGGCTGTCCCTGATTGGCTGGGAGCTGGGAGGAAGCAAAAACGTGGACTGGCCGGGGTTCCCTGAGGACTGGGTTGGGAAATTAGATAAATCATTTTATTTAATATAATTCATTGAAGTAGTAATAAATGTGCAGACTTACACTCTCTTTCTTTCCTCCAATGCTCTCGCACTGTTTGCAGATCTCTTGACAGGTATGAATTGCGTTGCTAGTGAGTCTGTGCTTTTAGGAAGCCATCACCCCTAAACACCTCCATTATCACAGTGGTTCCTCTGTTCACTCACCCTCTGCTTTCGCTTAGCGTTTGTACCTCCCTGACTCCCTTCCTTTCCTCTTCCTTCTCACTATGCTTCTGATTCTAGCTTCTGTATTTTTCAGTCCCTTCAAGTTATTTAATCGGCCTCCCTTTAGTGCTGTTGCTCTCTCTCACCAACATTTTCCCACTCGCAGCGACATCGAAGAGAAAAGGACGCTGAGTCAGCGCTCCCTGTGTGTGGAGAGCAAGGTGGGAAGTGAAGGTAGTCTGACTGGACTTGCTGAAGTCATCCAGGTGGACGGTCACACAGATGACTCAGGCCTTGAGGCACAAAGCAGTGTGACAGATCCTCCCGCCCCTGTCAGCCAATCAGCTGAGCCGCCCGCTACCCAAGCTGCTCCTAGCTCTGTCACTGGAATTCTGGACTAAGTGTATGGGACCAAATAGAGTAGCTATCCACAGTCCAACACACCTGCATGCCAACACACTGACCCAACCCGCAAATACACTAACTGTTGCACTCATACAAAAACTTGGTGGAAATGGTGACTTATACATCAGCTTTGGGGCACTTTCTAATTCAACCGGGACTGACATTGTCTTCATGGACTGCGAGTCTTACTGATATAGGGTGGCAATCAGTCACTGCACTGACGCCTGTGCGTAATTGCGGTGACGGAAAGATATGCTGATGTACATGCCACATGCAGAGGGTTGTATTCTGGAAATAATTCATAAGCCCTATTCAGAAGGGATTAGTTTTACCCAGTGAGGTTCGGTATTTAATTCGCAAAGTGATTCGAAAGGCCGGTTTGGACTGGATCAAAAAACGTGTGTAATGTCCCCAAATTACCAAAGATAGTGGAGATAAAACTAATTCCATCCAGATGTTAACGTCAGAGTTAAGGCATCTAAAGCGTATGGGGAAGAATTTTCATTTTTGAGTGACCTATAACAATGCTTTAACATACTAATCAAACACAAAAACATGACTTTTTCCCCCCTCCGACCATAACAGAGTAATCGGGGTGCTCAGTAGTGTTGTACTTCTCTGTGTCTACAGAATAGCTTGATGCAGGAGAGGTTGTAGCTGCAGGTTGTTTTATGTGGAATCCTCAGTAGCCATTCAAGCTACCTATTTAGCAGATAAATGCTGTTTCTGTCTCACAAAAAAAAGACTGGACTACTATTACTGAAAGAGGTCCATGTTCACTGAAATACATAAGGTAATTCACTCCTGAGTTTTTACTGTGGACGTTTGTAATCATTACAGGCATGGCAGGCCTGTGTAAAATTGCCGTTAATTGCTTAAATTACATTATGCCTCCCAGTAAAGCTAATCCCTTCCAAGCAGGGCTGTAGACTTCCTGACGTTCATCAAGTAGTAGAAATGCAAATGAGTCTTGTTCTCTCTCTCCTCCCCTCCATTTTTACTCATAATACTTTCATATCTATATTGCCTTTCTTTAAATCTTGAAAACCACGATTAGGAAAGTGCGAGAATCAAATCGGAATCCATTACAAAGGCAACATTCAATGGAGGTGACTGAAGAAAAAATATGTCTTAATTGCAAGAATGTAGCCTGTAGTGCTGGACAAAGAAGATGTGAGAGCTGCAGTACAGACTGACACATGGAGACCTGAAACATGTTCAATATGAGTATAGAGACAATGTAGTTTAAAGATTGTTGGTTATAGATTGGATGTCTTAAAGTGGTGTATTTCTTTTAAATACTATCTGCCATTTAAGTGTCTTGAAAATCACAGTATGTCTTATTAGAAAATATCTGTGTTTACCATTGTAAAGTAAGAACAATCTTGAATGTTTTTGTACCTGTCCTACGTTTCAAAACTTGCATTCAAAATATGTTTTAGCTGATACGACCGGGTTTAATTTAGACTATATACTTATATAAAAAGATTCAGAACAATCACTTTATTTTATGGATCCTTATTGTAGATATTGGCATTTAATTTTCTGTGTATCAATGTAGGACAAATTCACTGAGCGATATTTTTAATAACACAACCGCCAAGTTTGATACTGTATAGATATAGGATGGATTAAAATATTTCTTTTATATCAGACTATCAAAAATGTGGTAAAAAATATGAGCTCAGTAGGCAAATACTACAAATTTAATGTATATAAAAGGGACATCTGACTATTTAGCCATAGATAATAGAAGACACTTTCCTTATGGGTATTTTTGTCCTTAATGCTGTATTGACACATCAGGAATTTGCTTTATTATTCTCAGATTTTTTTCTCTTTCACCTTTTTTTGTGCAGTGGTCTGTATGCCTTTCTGTCTCCATGTTATTGTGTATTAAACTATCTGCTATACATTGACATACTCTCCCCTGCCACTATAGCTGCAGAACTGCAGACTCTCTTCCAAATAAAATAATAGTAGTGAGGGTTTTGTAAATGTCTCACTTCCATACACACACACAAAATTACGAAGCATCTTACTTTTAGACATCCTAATGAAACCCATTTCTGTCACATTAAAAAAAAAAAGAGTTTGCAACTTCATTACTCAGAATTTCGACTTTATTTATCCCAATTTCTCATATTTCTTTATTTCTCATAACTCTGAGTTCTTTTCTAACCACCAACAAGTAGTCGGAGCAATGACTTCTGCTCCTGCTTTAAGGATTCAGTACAAAGTGCTCAGCAACCATCAGACTGAACATCACCTGTTTAAAAACCCGAAGGATCTCTATGAGTTTGTGACCTGCTAAACATGCAAATGCACTTCAAAAGAAATTAATCAAATACCTTGTATTTTATCAGAAAAGATGGATAGAGGGTGTGAACAACAGAAATATGAGCTTAAAACACAGGAATGGATGCCACGGAATGATTAAAAAATGTGTAATTTAAAAAGTCATATATAATTGTGCAAATTCAGTACTTCGATTATACTCAATTTCTAAAAAGTATGGAAGTGTTTTAGGGCAACCTAAAAGGAAAAAAGTTTTATATATTAAGTTGAAGTCAAAAGCTTTGAGTTTAAAGTTTCCAGAGGTAGAAGCTGAATTCTACAGATAGCTTCTCCCTGCACAGCGGTTCCCTAAGTGTGTGTGTGTGTGTGTGTGTGTGTGTGTGTGCGTGTGTGTGTGTGTGTGTGTGTGTGTGTGTGTGTGTGTGTGTGTGTGTGTGGGGACCTTTAATCACAAAATGTTTTATAATTGTTTTTCCTTTTAGGTGTCACTAATGCTCTTCTATATTAAAGAGCCTAAATAAATTATAAATAAATGTCACCATAGTCATGCTAGAATATTACCAGGAATATGAAAATAAAAATGACGATCAACTGCTGTTGCCAAAAAAAAGAGACAAAAACAATGACAACACAATTAATCTCCACAAATTCAGCATATCAAGGCCCTTAACCTCCCAGAATGCTCCAGGGCTGCTGGATAAATGGCCTGACCTTGTGCTCAGACCCTCAGCTTCACTCTCAACTGAATATATATGAGTATGTTTGTCTCAAAGTAGAGAAAGACGGGATATGCAAGACGAAGCATTCCAGTGTACCTGTACTCATACTTGTGCAAATAGCAAATAAAGCAATGTTTCATTACATGAACCTGATTGATGAATTGGGGGGTTACTTTTATTAAGATATATATTCTCCCATGTTTACTATATCCCAACACAACTGAGAGGAGCAGGGAAAAGATAAGCGAGGGTATGTACAAGTCATTCACGTAGAAGAATATATTAATTTAATGAGACCAAAACCAAAGCGTGAATCCAATACCAAGGTTTGTAACGTGTGAATTCTGAGGACTGTTAGACCCCTAATTTAGGTGATTGACAGCTTACAGTAAAGTTGCCATGTATGTTGCTCGTACCTTTTTCCAGTTTCCAAAGTGCTGCGGAGTCTGATCTCACAGAGGCTGCTGTAATCCTCCAGTCTGGACTTCTGATCATGCTCGGCTTGTCGAAGCCACCTGGGAGTTCCCAGGTCTGAAAAGGTCCCTGATCTCCTTACCCCCGTGCTCTGAGTGACGGTAGGTGCAGATGAACCTGTCCTCTGCCGCTCAAGGGATGAGGACAAGAATATGACTCTTTCAGGGGTTGATAACATATTTCTCAGGACCCCAGTGGCTTGCTGCAATACATGCGCCAGCAAGGTACCGCCCCTAAGAGCTACTCCCCGGGCGCTGAATTAGCTGCCCCCTGCTATGTCACGATGTCACATATGGGTTAAATACAGAGGATCCATTCCTTTGTGTGCTGTGGTGTGTTGGCAATGATCACTGATCACCACATTCTAAAAAAAATTTACACATACATATATGCGTTTCTCCCATACAATTGTTTTCTTCACACAGAGACATTTTCTTCTTACATAGACATATTATTTATAATAACATATGTATCCGTTGATTGCATGTGCATGAATGTGAGTGAAAATGGATGAATATGTATGTTAAAATATATAAATACTAGAATAAACATATGTCTGTAAGAGTGAAGTATATATATTCTATACATTCTGTACAGCTCTGGAAAAAGTAAGTGACCACTCCATACTTTTTAAGAATCTGCATTTTTAAATCCTGGTTTAATCCTGGTTATGCTGGCAGAAGGCTACAGTGAACATTAAGTTGCTTTCAACTGCCAGAGAAGTTCACAGTCATCTCTGGCATTAGAAAGTTGCTTGCCAGTTTCTCCTACTTCACTTTGTTCCTGTGTACTGCTGTCTTAGAAACTTTGAGCCTGGAAGCAGCTTGCCTCGCAGTGTAGCCTTCTGCCAGTAGAAGCGGGATTAAACCAAGATTTAAGAATGCAGACTTTTTAAAAAACATAGAATGGTGTCTTAATTTGTTCCAAAACTGAATCATGCACAGATGTATTGCTGACGGGACTACAATGAAAAATCTACATTGAATTAAAAACATATTGTTCAATGTAACCAGTCATGGTTACAAATTGATTGGATGAACCGCACCACTGGTTACCTGGTTACCCTGGGCAGTGACTAAATCCAAAAAACTCTGCACACAGCTTTACGATTAATTAACAAGTGTGTCAGTACAGTACAGCACACATACACACAGACACACACAAACAGATTTAAAAAAAAACAGAAAACATGTACCATGTACCACCAACATTCCATCGCACGATAGAGACTCTGTAAGCTTGATTTCTACAGTATCGCTTGACTAACCCAGCACTCCGATACATTGACAAAAAAAACAGTTCAACCCTTATTCAGAACAGCTGAAACTTTGGTTTGCTGATGAGTTGAAAACTCCAGGGTAGTGTGAATGAAAGGCAAAAACTGAGACTAATATCTATGTTTTTAAAGAAAAAAGCAGCCCTAAATCCATGAGTATCCCCATGCACCTACCCCCCCCGCCCCCACCCCGATTGCTGTTATTTGTAGTGACCGTCAGGTGATCCGATCAAAGTTCACTCAGTCAAGGACCGCTACAGCTCTATCTGGTTGACCTCGCTTGCTTGAACATAAATTTACTCAAAGGACTGGTGACAGAGGACATACGCAGCACACCGTTCTCCACGGCCTCTTGGTGAGAAAATGTCGAAAGAACAGCCAGAGCTGACCCAGACACCCCTGCAGAAGATCTGGGTGCCCTGGGTGAGCCGTTCATTGACGCAGAGAAGGGGGTGTAAGTGTCGTTGATCCTCTTTGTCTTCACCGTTCACTCTCACAGTATTGGCTCCAAAGGAAGTCAAAGTTTCGAGATGCAGTGATTTTCACAGAATACTAATTGAGAACCCTGTGCAGTTGACAGATGCAGGGTACTTTAACATAATTCTCTAAAACACACGATTTCTTTTCAAAACCTGCAGCCTGTGTGCAATGTAATTACTGCCCACATAGTGACAAACAAATATTAGATGGGAGTTGGATGCCATAGATCAGGGCTGCAAGGTGGTTGGCAGTTTGCTTGGTGAAGTTTGTATCCCCCCCTTATGGACTAAGGCTCTAAGTACCGCTATGGTAGATTCTACCCCCACCAAGCCTCTTGCACTGGTACTCACCTTCACCCATCAATACTGTGAATACACTTTGGGATCGGTCAAGTTGGCTGCTGCGTGTTTAAAGTTTTTGAAATCAGTACTGTGCTGTAATCCACATATGTCTGGGGGCTTGCTGTAGCATTTAGGAGAGAAAACAGTAAGGATTTCTAACTGAATTATTTATGTGCTTCTGTTTGTGTATTTTGTGGTGTTTTGGGGCTTGATCAGTGTTTGGGTCACCATCAAACCTCATTACATGCACACAAGACCTAGTTAGTTTATTTTTTTTGCGCCTGAGGTAGAAGTGGACCAATTCTAAAATTTTGACTTTGATTTTGATACCAGCTTTGGTGCCTCGATAGGCTGTAAACAGGCTATTTATGAAACCAACAAAAATATCCTACTGTATAATATAGTTTTAACTCATGAAAACATTAAACTCCATTCAATAAACAGATTTTGGTATTAGTTTGGCCTCAGATTAGGCTCGGAACTCTTTGGCGAATTTTATTGTAGGGATCACTCCGCTTCGCAAATTTTATTGCGAAGACTTCGTAATACCGGAACAGTGCTGCTTTTGAATATACCATCAAAATATTGCATGCTGTGATATAATGCATGGTGCTACTGTATGAAAAATTAGATACCACTCAAGCCTACCTTAGTGGTTACAAAACCTCGTTGATTATATACTCATGTTATGTCTATCTTTGTGCTTGTTGTGTTCATCATTTAGCCTAGCCTTACTTTTGCATCACTGGGGAAAAGGATTTGAATGCAGTCGCATGTAGGCTAAATGTAATAACCTCTGAATCACATCACTTTCATGTATCTTATATCAGTTATGGTGCATGATGATCTTTAAACTCCTTATATAAATCAGGGTGAGCGAGTGACACGAAGCTTCACCAGGTTAGACATGTTGGTCCCTGATAGTAGCATTTGTACTGAGGCTGTTGCGTTTGTGGTTTCACCCTTTTCGGTTGGTTTATAACCCAAATAATGACATATTGCACTTCTGCTGCTTATCAGCTAGAGGTGGGCAGTGGGCAACAGTGGTTTCCATCTTCCGTAGCTTCTCTGCACAAGGGATATGTGAAATAAGTGTCTCCTCAAAATGCAGATTCTGCAAATCCACTATGTGACATAACTAAATATTGAAATTTGTACAATGATAGAATCATATTGTATTTTTTTGTATTGCAATATATATATATATTGAGGACTCATACGATTCAGGCTGCAAACTAGACCTTTTGCAAAGCAGCTGTTCTTTAGTATTCTATTCAGTAGTAGCAATCTGCTGACAGACCCCTCTGGGCCAGGGACCTGTAGGTGGTTTACCTCCGCAGGCCCAGCAGACACGGCTGTGGGAGGCTTGCCAAGGGCATAGGAGTCTGATTTTGACCTTTCTAAGTGACCAGTGAGGACCAGTGGGAGTAGACTGAGGGAGTTCAGGGAGTTTTAAGCCTTTGATTTCACAATATGGTTCTTTGAATCATTTCAACCAATGATATATCAGGATCTGTTCTGTCCTTTCCCTGTTTGCCCAGCTGGTGCTGCTGGCCATCCATTTCTGTGCTCTTTGATTTTGCACCCTAGTGTGTTTTCCAGCCCCCTGTGCTGCCACGTAGCTGAATGGGCTGAGCGTGTGACTAAGAAATGTCCTGCATGTCAACTACATTGGACATATTGTGATTAGTTTTCTATTCTGCATGTTATTTGTTTTCTTGTGTTTTAGTATTTTAGTATTGGTTCTGGTTGTTGTGTTTTACTTCCTGGTTTTCCCTGCCTGTGTTCAGCCTTAGTTGTTTTGTGCTCTGTGTATCTCCTGTGTTAGTGTTTCCTAGTCTTTAGTGCCTGTTAATTATGGCCTGCACCTCTTCCAATTTGCCATGCAATGAGTCTTTTGGGGAAAGCACCCTGGTTTGATTGTAGCTGTGATTCTGTGATTCTGTGCAACATCACGAGCTTTGAAAACCGCAACAGATTAAGAAAACGCAACAGATTAAGAGATTAACAGATTAAGAGAACACATTTAAAAATTTAATTTGCTTAATTTTTTGTCTTGATGTTTTTGTGTTCTCTTAATGTTTTTGCATAGTGTTAATGTTGACATGCTTTGGGCTTTCAGGGCCACCGTACAGCAGACGAGCACTGCGTTTACCATCCCCAAGCACACAGAGTATGGCCACATAATAGCACAAGGCAATGCACAACCATATCAGTGAATAACTTTGAAATTATATTCATTATTCTGACATGTTAAATTGTTGCCATCGTTCTATACGTGCCATGTACAGCACAGTCTATGCATCTTTTGGAGTCAAATCCACACCTTCATTTAAATAAAACTGCAGTAATATGTAATTCTATGGCTGTGTATATCCTGCTAACCTGCTCCTGAATTCACTGGGTGAATAAGAGGTAGATGAGATGTAATTAATGTTTTCTGTTCAGAGCGACCTATTCTCTCCTCTAACGCTTCAACATTGCGTCCTACATTATTATTACAGACGAGTTTTGACGCTGAGCCATCTTTACTGTGGTAAGGTGCTGAAAACGGCTTAGTGCTAAACAGGGGCGTCA